GATATAACAGGCTTGGTACACGTTGATAAAACATTTATAGCTGAGCTATATATGCTTAGTTAAGTAGTTACTATATGATCATACGATTAGTAAGTTACAGGCTATGTTAAACAACGTTAGGTGTAAATTTCTCCACACTGCTTTAAATTAACCACCAGGGGGCAGCGAGTTACTGAGCTTGCCGGATAATGCATATATTCAGGCTTAGACAGTTGTAAATGATTTCCCTGCAGTGATAAATTCAACTGTATGAAAAGCATAAATGATATTAAAAAGACAATGCTAAACGTAAGTATATACCGTGCTCTGCAGGATTTTCATTCTACATGGTTAGCAGCCGCTTAGTTACTTCTGCAGCTGGCCTTGTCTCTTATATGGCATTGTCGCTTCACAGAATAGTTCCAAAGGCTCACAATGGGGGTATCGTTATACTCAGCAGATATAGCAGAACACAATATGGGGTTCTGTGCAGGAATAGCACACACCAGCTTTACGAAATACACATTACAAAAACCATGTTATATGTGTATATGCCAAAATAGAGAAAAAACACAATTTTACTTCAATATTTAGCAGAGATTGGCGATGAAATGGTTATGTAAAATATGTCAAACTAACCTTAAAGGACCACTATAGTGCCAGGAAAACATACTTGTTTTCCTGGCACTATAGTGCCCTGAGGGTGCCCCCACCCTCATGGGCCCCCTCCCGTCTGGCTCTGGGGGGAGGAAAGGGGTTAAATCTTACCTTTCTCCAGCGCTGGGCAGAGAGCTCTCCTCCTCCGATCCTCCTCTTCTCCTCCCCGTCGGCTGAATGCGCACGCGCGGCAGGAGCTGCGCGCGCATTCAGCCAGTCACATAGGAAAGCATTCATAATGCTTTCCTATGGATGCTGGCGTGCTCTCACTGTGAAAATCACAGTGAGAAGCACGCAGGCGCCTCTAGTGGCTGTCAATGAGACAGCCACTAGAGGATTAGGGGGAAGGCTTAACCCATTAATAAATATAGCAGTTTCTCTGAAACTGCTATGTTTATTAAAAAATGGGTTAACCCTAGAAGGACCAGGCACCCAGACCACTTCATTAAGCTGAAGTGGTCTGGGTGCCTAGAGTGGTCCTTTAAGTTTGACATATTTTATATAAATATATAATTTTGTGGCAATTTTGTTTTCTGTGATGGCTACTAAACCTACAAAACAAACAGACCAACTTCTAAAATTGTTGCAAATAGAAATCTTATTTTAGCCCTTGTATTTTGTGACCTGTAACTTTCAAAATAGGTTTAAATCCTACACATATGATGTACTCTATAAATCAAGACACATAAATTAATTTATTTAGAATTACTTTTAGTAAGCTGGACATATTATGCACACGCTATTATTGCCAAAACTGTGAAGGAATGTTTTTTTTTTTTTTTTTTAGATTTTTCCCTTTTTTTGTATAATTAATGAGAATTCATCTATTTATATGTCACATCAAATTAAAGCCCCTTTTGCCCTCTAAAATACAGTATATAATATGTGTCGGTGCAATAAATGACAGAGATGCAAATTGCATTTGAACACAAATAACAAAAATTGAAACAATGTCTTATTTTATGTAACTAATATCATTTTTTTTCATTATTTATTATATCAGAAATGTGTAGCAATATGGCTTTGCATGTGAATACCGTATTAATGCAGTAATATTCTTATTGCATAGTTCATAATATTTAAACACAGTTGGGTGAATGAGAACATCATGCACTTTCCCTACACTGACACAGTGTTACCAGGCAATGACGCCTGGAATCCTAGTCATTTCCCACGTGACCCATGCACAGCCATTCAGCTTCCTCCACCTCCTCGGCGGAAGTCTCCCTCCTGCCCGGAGTCAATATGGCGGCCTGGGGGCTGCGGCCCTGCAGTCTGAGAGCGCTGGATGATGGAAGGCTGACAGCTCGTAGCTCCGCCTCTTCCGGCGCGGTGTTTCCGCTTCCTGTCTCCATGGCCCGGTTGCTGCCGCCGCTGTTTCTGCTGCTTCT